TAATCCTGGAAGCACCAATCAGTTCTCTAAGTAAAGCTTCCGGATAATCCGCCGTCGGCAAATCAGGAGTCTACTGTAATAAAAGGCAAAGGTAAAGTTGTTCCTGTGCTTAACAAATTAAGCACTACGCCATGAAGGCGTATGGGGGAGTGGATGTATATAGCCAAATTTTCTTGACCTCGGCACTAGTTGGTGGTGAGTGGTCAGCTTCACGGCCTGACCGGTTTACCCCCGGGGGAAAGAGCCTCCGGTACCCATTGGATGGGAAGCTGGGTGGGCCCCAGAGCAGGTCTGAAAGACGGGGAGAAAATTCTTGACCCTACCGGGACGCGAATTCCAACCCCTTCTCGTCAAGCCCGTAGCCAGTCGCAATACACACTGAGCTATCCCGGCTCACTCTACTGTGGTACGATTTCCAAACGAAAGACACGTTAATATTACAGTAGGGCATGGAAAAGGGGCGACTATCAGATACGTCGACAGTTGCCACATTTGCTCTAAGGGCTGAGTCTTTGGAGTTTCTGGTTTCCAGTGCCGCAGTACACACAAATCTGAGCGATTTCACGGCGGTATTTTTTATTATACACGTAATTAGATCTAATATTCATACGTGTGTGAAATCGTTCAGCACGCACACACACAAAGAAAGCAATTTATGTTCCGTTCCCTGCCAACGCTTCTACGCAGCGACAAATGAATTCCCCGCCGATCACCTGCTTGCCCGTCTGCTGAAGTGTTATAACTCTGCCCGCGCATAGGCACTACGCGACAAGCCGTAAGGTGGAGGGTTCGATTCCCGATGAGGTCACTGGATTTTTCAATTAACCTAATACCTCAAGCCGCACTATGGCCCTGGGGTAGACTCAGCCTCTAACAGAAATGAGTACCAGGAACTTCCTGGGAGGTAAATGGCGGCCGGCGCGTAAGATTATGGTAAAACTCCGAAATTAATAATTTCATGAAATAATCCCTCAGCGGATTTCGAGTGGTTACATGAAGACAGACGTGTTGATGGGTGTATTTTTGCGACGTTTCGTTGGCGACTTGCCTTAAAGTGTCAATTAAATTTAGTTCTGACCCACATCGGTCCAACATAACCCTTAATTTATACAGAACTCAATACAGATCATCGTATGAAACAATTATCTCTGCATTTGATGGGGCACTGTTAAATAACCATCAACAAACACAATTGATTCCCTATGATCCAACACAATCGCGGGCACTAGAACTGTAAAGACAAAGGTAAAGTTATCCCTTGGCTTGCTTAATTAAGCACCAGACCATGAAGATGCACGGGGGAGCTGGAACATTAACCTCGGCACTAGGTGGAGGTGAGTGGTCAGATTGAGACCTGGCCGCTTTACCTCCGGGGAAACAGGACCAGGTACCCACTGGATAGGAGGCTGGGTGAGATCCAGATTAGGTCTGGATATTATGGAGAAGAGACACATCTCTTGCCTCTGCCGGGAATCAAACTCGACTCCTCGGTTGTCGAGTCCATAGCCTAACTGCTATACCGACTGAGCTGTAAGGCTGTTACAGGACGCAGTTCATTATGCCACGGAAATTGAGCAATCTCATGACTCAGAGTTGTCATGGGTCCCGCGGGGCCTCAGACCGACAATGACTGTGCTGGGGAAGGCCTGCAGAAAATTACTAGACCAGACCAGACCAGGGAAATTAGTATTCCGATGACGAGGTCGCCAAACAGTACGACTGTCTGGCTCGCTCCTTTGCTGGGATCAACCGCTCAAAGCGAGCGCACACCGCTTTCAATTATACGCAATCTACACACTGACGTCATTTCACAACCCGCACAAAACCGGAACGCCTGACACGAAACAGTGGGCACTGCATCCAGGGACACAGGCTTACTTCCTCTGGCGATTTCGTATTAAGTTGCAAAAATATACCCATCGGCTTCACCATATCCGTGCGTAATGGTCAGACAGCCGCTAAAGGTAAAGTTGTCCCTGTGCTTAACTAATTAAACACTGCTCCATGAAGGTGTATGTGGGAGTGGATGTGTAGATCCACATTTTAACCTCGGTACTAGTTGGAGGTGAGTGGTCAGCTTCATGCCCCAGCCGCTTTACCTCTGGGGAAAGAGCCCCCGGTACCTATTAAATAGGAAGCTGGGTGGGCTGCAGAACCAGTATGGACGACGGGGAGAAAAGAAAATTCTTGACTCTACCGGGACTTGAACACCGACCCCTCAGTCGTCCAGCCCGTAGCTAGTCGCTGTACCGACACTATCCCGGCTCTCTTCGACAATCACTAGGTTGATTTTAATTACATTTGATAACGGACAGTTTTACTAATTTGTCGGTACATTTAAACTTTGGGTACCACTGGATAAGAGGAAGGGAATTTCAGCGTAACCCACTACGTGTTTATTGGAACGAAAAAACAAAAAAATTTCAAACAGAAGTTACGGCGAAAAAATAAACACGCATTTTGTATTCGACACAGAATGATACATTCCTCCGAAACGTCGGTGGACTTCTACCGTAAACCACGGTGTCACAGCCCAGAAGATCCAGATCCAACGATCTGGTACACTCCCGCAATAAACTCAGGGCAAGACCTCAGTCTATGCCATTGACTGCGGAACGGGGACGGGCCATCACTGTATTAGGACGGCTGGACAACTTGCTATTCGGGGGGCAAGGTGACCTGAGCATAAAGCTGACCACTCGCGTCTATCTACTGTCTAACGTGCAGAGCTTTGGTGGCCCTGAGTCCAATATCGTACGTAGTGCGGGTTAATTTCCAGCTAAATCAAACAAACCTCTGCCGGAGTGATTAATTTTACTGCATGCAAGGGCAGACTGAAGGCTGCTGTTGTAATATAAAAGTCACGGGATGCAAAACCGACCTATAACCCACCTTCCAACATCCTGTCACCATAGTAACGTAATTCCCCATTGCCACGGAACACGCCGCTGGATCCGATCAACCGACAAGCAGTGGGAATACTCCTTCGTAATGTCGGCTTGCAAGCAGATTATCCTGACGTTTTCGTGGTTTGCCTCAGTTCCAACAGGGAAATGCTGGAATAGTACTGACAACGAGCTTGAAAAAACCTATAAATGAATAAAAGGTACATTTATCTCTGTGCTTCATTAAATAATCAAAATTACCTTGGCACTAGACGAAAACGTCAGCTACACGCCGCAGCCGTTTTACCCTTCTGAAAAGAGCCCCCCCCCCCCGATTCCCATTGGATAGGAAGCTTGGTGGGTCCAAGAGGCCGTCAAAACGCTGTGGAAATTATAAAACTATTTTGCCTCTTCCGGGAATCGAACCATGGCTGGTAGCCCGCTGTTATACCGACTGAATAATGAAACAAAACAATGACTACATTTCTTACGTAGGCGGACTCTTGTGAACTAGGTAATGGAGTTTCTAGGATCTGCAAAATTCGCGAAATTTCGTGCGTAGCTAAACAACTATTAGCTTTACTTCTTTTGGCTTATTTTGGACTTCACCCATCGTCCGGTATATAAAAGACAAAAAAAACACGACGTTTCGGAGACTGGATCTGTCTCCGTCTTCAGGTGGATAGGGAAGGGTAAACCTACTCAGTTGGGCCCCTTGAAAGAGCTAGTCTCAATCACTGGACAAACCCCGGTCTGTAGAAACAACCTATGAACAACCGACAACCGGTTCCATCAGTGGGAGGAAAGAATAAAATCGCAGTAAAAACATGATAGAAAATTTGTGCCAAACATGCACTTGTCAACAATGCAAAGAAACAGAAGTATGGGTTATATTCCATGAATTAAGTTAAAAACGAAAGTAAAAACTGGATAATGCATGCCTGATCTGCATGGATAAAGAATCGTGACACCATGGCGACTTCCGGGAATCAGACTAATCCCTGGAAGAAAACTTGCAGTAGTAGTGGAACCACTAATATTCATAAAATTATATTTTTTAATTTGTTAACCTCTTCATTGATGAGGGGAATCCATATGGGAGAAATATCCAAACTGGGTTGGCTGATCGGATTGGATGAACATGCCATATGAGCTGATTCTTTGTATTTCCTGTATCTGCTGTTGCTTTCAATCTCCAAGATCCTAGCTTCATCCCAGCTTACCCTGTGACCTTCTTCATATGCATGCTGAGCCAACCTGGATTTCTCTAGAAGACCCTGCTTGAGATTATGCTTGTGTTCACGGATTCGAACAGCCAGTGGTCTTCCTGTTTCACCCATGTAGCTTCTGCCACATTGACAGGGAATGCTATAGACGCACTGTGCCGTCTGTTGAGGATCCCTTTTTGGTCTCGTTCTCACGAGCGAAGATCGTAAAGTGTGTTTAGTTTTGAAGACGGTTCCCTATGCACTTGAACTTCTCAGAGATAGCTTCTATTATTAACTATTAGCTTCTCAGGGATTCTGTGAAGTTGTATATTGTTACGCAGGTAGTATTCAGTACAGGTGGAGGCGCAACATCGGACACTCGCACCTTCAGTCAACTCAAACAAGCAACAGTAAAAATGTGTATACAATTTTAGTAGGAACACCTGAAGGTTAAAGACCACCTGCGAGACCGTGAAGTAAATGCCGGGTAATACATAAACGGACAGAAATGTGAGGGCATAAATAAGAAGAGGTAAAGCTATTCCTGTAACCGGCCGTGGAGGTTCATAGGGATGCGAGACGTCGAGGCTCCCACATTTTCTAGACACTCGGCTCACAGATGGCGGTGAGGTTGTCAGCCTTTAGCGCTGGTCGCCCTTTACCCCCCAGGAAGATTGCTGGTACTCATTTCTCTTAGAGGCTGAGTCGACCCCAGGGTCATAGTGCGGCCGGAAGGGTTGGGTCAATTGAAGAATCCACTGATCTCATCGGGAAGCGAACCCGTGACCTTCCGGCTTGTAGCATAGTGCCTCGACCAAGTAAGCTACCGCACGCCCCGATGATCTAACAGCATAGTGAGAAGTAGGGGGGAAGGACTTATTAAAGTGACCCGACGTTTCGGTTGCAGTGGTCGCGGGGAACCGATGTTTTGTGTGCGTGCCGCGGACAGGTTCCTGGAGGGACGAGGCGATGAAGCTGTTTCCGGGCCCACCGGGACTGCTTCTGTGCGAGCACTTTCACCCCAAGGACATGCGATACGAGAGGGACTGCCCGTCACAGTACACCGGTTGTCTCACCCAGACCAACGGTAAGCAGAGAACAAGACTCGAACTAGTTACCTACCGGAACACATACACAGTTTCTCCTAACCAGGGTGTAGGAGGATATAGAACATAACAGCATAGCAAAAAGGTAGGGGGCACCCAGTTTTCAAGGGGGACAGTCAGACAATTTGCTCATAAACTTACGTTTAAGCCCTTTCCTGAGTGTTCAGAACAGAAGAATATTTTCCCCCAATATTTTTAATTATTAATAATATTTAGTACATTTCCCGATTTTTAGCCTATTCTTATTTTGAAAAAACAAAAGAGGCTTATGAGATCACCTTACAGTCTGTGTCCCCTTTCATCGTTGCTAGGCTACTTTCCCTGTGTCTTTTTGTGTATCCCCCGAATAGCAGCTAGGCAACGGATCGCGTTGTCTATGTGTAACCCTTATCGTTACTTGGTAACAGGCTACCCATGTCGCGTCAAAGGAGAGTGGTAAATTAGTTCTTCCCAGAATTTCTTTTTCAGCTTTAATTTTTTTATTAAAATCCCTGGGAAGGGATTTCCCCCGGAAATACGTGGGTAGGCTGAAAAGTAATGCACACATGCTTGTAGAGCGCGAACAAAAACAAATAGCAAGATCGGGCAAGAAGTACATTAAAGTACAATTCTTAAGTTTCAAAAGCATATATTTATTTTTCAACATAGTCACCGTTAAGGCTAACACAATTCTCCCAACGTGTAACAAGTTTTTTCATTCCGTCAGTGAAAAATTCTTCCGACTTTTCTCGAATCCAGGACTTGACAGCTGCCTTCACCTCATCGTCCGAGGTGTAATGATTACCCTTGAGGTCTCTCTTGAGTAGAGGAAAAAATAAAAATAGCAAGGCGCAAGTTCGGGGGAATAAGGAGGGTGTGGAATCGGTTCAAACTTCAGGTTTCGCAGAGCCTCTTCAGTTGCGCGCGAGGTGTGTGGACGAGCGTTCTCATGTTGCAAGATTACTGGCGCCAGGCTGCCTCTAACACGACAAACTCGACGCCGGAGGTGTTTTAGAGTCTGTATGTACTGAGAAGAATTTACCGTTGCCCCTCGTCGAAGAGTTTGCGATGATTATCGTCTGTGGCAGTGATCGGACGTCCGCTGCGTGTTTCATCAACAATTATGGCTTTTCCAGGCTCGCAACCACGAAATTTTATTACCCATCGATTTACAGTAGACCTATCAACAGCATCGTCACCACAAACAGCCTTTAAACGACGATGAATCTCAGTAGGAGTCACTTTTTTTAGCAGTTAAAAATTCGATAACAGCACGCTGTTTAACTCGCGTTAACATAGCACTAGAACACGTCTCCATTCTTCCGCGTCTCGAAATACACTGGATGAACGCAACGACCTCAAACCTGCGCATGCGTATTGAGGGGGAATGTTACTTCCACATGCCAACTGGCGCGCCTCTGAAGGTCATTTCGTTCGCGCTCTACAAGCATGTGTGCATTACTTTTCACCCTCCCTACGTACATGTATTAATAGTACATTCGCTCTCGAACTGAACCCTTATTCGATTATTTCACAGGTCCGCACGTACTGCGCATGTGCAGTGATTTGAGTGACAGAATCAACGACTGCAAGATGGCGAACGGGGTCCAGTATTGCTTCTGCTCAGGGAGCGACCTCTGTAACGGCAACGTGTCGCAGTTTCCGACAAGACCCACCGTCAGGCCAGTACCACAGCCTCCTAGCGACGAAGACGATGAAGACCGAGACCTGCCAGAAGGCAGCGGAGGAGGATTCCCTCGGACGAAGGCCAATCCTAGCCCCACCACGGCGCATCCGCCACACGGCACAACGTCCACAAGTGTGTCGCCCACGCACGGCGGTGCCACAACGATCAGGACACTGTGTCTCCTACCCTTCATGGCTGCCCTCGTGGTGATCACAACGCAATAAACCCAGAGACACTCATATTTGCAGCGGAACATGTCCAACTGGGACATTCTAGCCTTGTACCTGACGTCTGACCCTTTCAGAACTGCAGTGGAAAACGGTTAAACCCGTTGAAGCCATCGGTCTGGTACGTCAATTTCTAGTATGGAAGTTATCCAAGATCTGAGCAATGCTCACTGGCCTGGGTGGTCATGAATGAATTTGTTGATTCACGTCCGATAGTAACCTTCTTGAACCAATGTAAGTAAAGGACCGCGATTTTTTTTCTGGTTACGTGGGAGCTACATAATTTGTGAATGTAATTTTGGGGCCTCCAGCGCAATGGGGTTTAATTTTCATGAATTTAAAATTGGGTGAGCTGCACAAGATGAACGCAGCAGCATGGAACTCACACGATAATAAATTAAGTTCGTAATCCACAGAAAACACATTACGTCTCCAATACAAAGCCCAACCATTTAATGCTGTTTAAGGAGACGGCCACTCTTTACTGTGAAAACCATACGGGGCACACAGATGCACTTTGTGGGCAGAATGCAGAGCTTTTTTTTTTTTTTTAATTTTAAATCAAGTGGCACATATACCGTCATTAACATTGTCCTTTAAAAAGTTAACAAGTGACGCGAACAAAAGAGTTCCGGAATTGTTCCATTACATCTGCAGGCCTGTGCCATCGTCACACTCAAAATCATTGTTCTTCCACGGTCCTACGAAATCGGGGTTTACTTCCAGTACAGTTGCCCGAGGGCCACATTGCTACCAATTAGTTTTTTAACACTCCCTCCGTCCCTAGTCTCAGCTACTGTCTGCAGACCCCACATGTCCCAGGCATGTTAACAGATACCATCATTATCGGCACACAGCAACTGAAACTTGCAAAAATACTCCTTCTAGCTTCTCCATAATGCTACAAGCCGGAAGGTCGCGGATTCAAGTCCCGATGAGGTCACTGGATTTTTTCAGTTGATCTAATCCTTCGAGCCGCACTAGGCCCTGGGGTTTACTCAGCCTCTAACATAAATGAGTACCAGGAATTAATTAAAATAATTTTCCTGGGGAGTAAAGCGCGGCCGGCGCGTAAGGCTGACAACCTTACCGCCATCTTTGAGCCGACTGTCTAGATCAGTGTTCCGCAACCTTTTTCTACTCGCGGCACACCATGAAGTATACATGACTCAACACGGCACACCATAATGTTATTCCCCTCAAAAACGCATGAGATCAGACAATTAATATAAATACGTAACGTGATCAACTTATTACTATAATATTATTATATTGTTATTTTATTATCATTAAAACAGAAATCGACTTGTGCTTTTATTAACAATTAATGAACAGTAATTCACTGTAGAGTGTAGAAAATACACTTCTATTACTATTAAAGTAAATACAGTAATTCGACTCATACCTTCAATGTGATACTTGCGCCTGCGTAGCTGCACACAGGCGACTGATCCGTGGTGGAATCGTTGACAACGCAAGTCTCATTTCTTCATCGATGGATTTGAGCCGCTCCCTCTTTGATGTCTCAATTTCAGTTAACGTCGAGAAGCCCAGTTCACACAAATATGTAGTTGAAAATGGCAATAACACATTAACTGCCATCTCGGAGATAGCCGGGTGTCCACTCCTTACTGCCAACCAAAACGTATCCAAAGGCACTTCGAGAAGTTTTAGTTTCATTGTTCTGTCTGCTTTTAAATCTGGAGTTCCTCTTGTATATTAAACGGAAGATGTTCTGAATTCGCAACAAATGGATCACGAACCCAGTCGAAATCTCGTACACTCTCTCCAAAATACTTATTGAATTTCTGCTGCAGCATT